TATGCCTTCTATCATTAATAATATTCAATCATTAACATTAAACATTCAACATATTCCAAACATTAGTATTTTTGCTAAAAGAAATTCTAATGGAATTCTTCCGAACTTGATACATTTGAAAATAATGATGGGTAGGCAAGATCCTAAAACAGGCACGCCTTACACATTAGGTAAACTATTATTAAATATGATTTTTTAAACTATGATTAGATATCACTTTAGTTCATTTTCGGCATATGAAACAAGAGAAAGTTTTATCGTTTTAGAATTTAAAAATTTCTTCTTGTCTGTATTTTTTATGCAAAAGTATTCGATCTGTACACTTCTATTGTATAGAAAATTGCTAGACAGTTTCAGAGATGTGTACCACACCTAAAATCCGAGGTGAAGGGCGACGGTAATCGCAAATCAGCAGCGGAAACAGTCACCCATCTAAAGCCTTTTGCACAAGCGGTGCGATTGCATCGAACAGCCACTTTAGAAATTTTTTTTTGTCATATTTGTTGCACTATTCTATTTCTTTGGAAAATAATGTTTCATTTCTGACCATTTACATATGAACAGCAATATAAAGTTGAAAGCATATTAAAAAATATTTAATTGGGCAAGATATAATCGAGCAAATAAATAAATATATATGAACTTATACATTATTTGTTTCAATTTTAATCTATTTTATGATTGAATTTGCATAAACTGAAGTTGGAGACGAATTTAAATCTTATATTCGTCACAATGAAATCCAATAGGTTTTCAGTTAGATTGGTTTATTATATGAAGATAATTTTTAATCGATATTAGTTTAGATTTAATTGATAAATTTAACACATGACTATTAAAATGTGATAAACTTTCACAGAATAGAAAGTTAGCTTCGAGATTATAATTTTCCGAGACAAATAGAGGATCACTTTTCACAAAGTGAGAATAAATTAATGAAAAGTGCAAGGGAATGCATATTTCTATTAACTAGCGAATAACAAACTGATCTCAATGCAAGTCTATTTGGAAACGTATAGTTTGTAGAACAAGGACATCCTCTTCGATGGATGTCTAATTAATGGTGGTGAGTAAAGGAGAAAGTGTTAATAAAACTAACAGCATTCTCCAAACAATGAGTCCGCCAACTCTTCAATCCCTTTTCTTAACTTTTTAGCGTTTGATAAACATTCTTTTTATATAATTCCTAGCGATAGAGTTTAACAATTGGTATCATAAAGGCGCGACCGTTCGGCAGTCATATCAACAAAGAGGTGAGCGCGGCAAGGCAGTTCTCAGGCGTGATGTGACTGTCCTCCTCTCTGCATCGACGCACGCTGTGCACGTTTCTGCACAATTTAAAGAAAAGAATGATGAATTTACTACATCAGTTTTGACATAATTTACAAAAGTTCTTATAAAACCTAAAGTTGAAGAAAATATCGAAAATTGAAAAATATTATTACATTATAACATTTATATATTTAATTAGGTAACAATCTTTACGGTATTTCACGGTATAATCCTCTCTTCTCAAATATACCTCAATTTGTTATAATGAATAAGAGCAGTTCTGCTCGCATCCTATCTACATTTCTTTGTTCATCAGTTATGCATTCTATTGTATCGTTTGAATTGGATGATGATTGTATTTTACTAAATATGTTTAATGATGATAGTTTATTTTTCCATGAATCAATTCATCTGACTCATATCCGGATAACATTATATCGATTTGAACATTGTATTTGTTTACTTAATCGATTAAACTCACAATTATGTTCATTCACTGTGAACATTATGTTTGTTTCTTTACCAAATGTTGATATTTTATCTGAAATTAAATCGGTAAATAATATTTATTAATTAAAAATTTGATTTAATTAATTCATTTAGATTTCATGTCCCAATTTGAAACAATTGACAATAACAAGTTATCGCACTATTACTGATTATGAAGAGTTTTTTCTTCCAGTTCTACAACGTTTATCAAATGTTGAATATTTAACATTATTATTAGTTGTTGGTCTTGAAGGGATTCGACCCAATCATTTTATCGATGGATTTGATTTGGAGAAAAATATTATTTCATATATGCCTCATTTACGTGAATTTCATTTTCATATTCGTTCAATATTAAAAAACCCTTCTCATGTAGAAATCAAAACAATTCGTCAAAGTTTTATTCAATATCAACAACAATCGGTTGATTGTGTAATCGATTATTTCCATGATAACTATGGTCAATGTCAAATTTATTCACTTCCATTTATAGGTACTCGTCTTGACTTTATTTCAAATCGATTTCCACTCTTTGATACTAATAAGACATTTTCAATGGTTACCAAATTGTTACTTTACGATGATATTCAACCGTTCGAAAGTAGTTTCTTTGAACGTGTCTCTCGAGCTTTACCTCATCTTAGAACACTCGATGTAATGAATGGACTTGAACAGCAAGAGAAAAAAAAAACAACAACAAATAATCTTGAATTTATTAATTTAACTACTCTGATTTTATTCGACATTCATTTGGATTATGCTGAACAATTACTTTGTCGAACTCATCTTCCTTGTCTAGTTGAACTTGCTATTGATAATGACATATTATTAGAAATAATGACTCGAGATCAACAACAGGCAAAAGATAATTGTTCTAGAGTAGAAACTCTACGAACTTGGAAACCATTCTATCATTCAGTAGATGTACTTGAAAACTTTTTTCCACCATATTCCTATGTCAAACATCCGGACGAAGAAAAGATGAAAAATAAATGATTTATGTAAAATTATCAACTATTTGTTTTATTACAATCTTTCTAAGAGTCAATGGAATAGATTTATTGTAATGATCTGTATTGATTTAAATATAATACAAAGAAAAATTAGTTTCTATTTTGTCAAATAAATAGAAAAAGAAAACATTAATCCTATCGTTTATTTTATTAATGATATATAAGATGACTTTGATGATAGGATATTTTACTGCTTTCTTTATTACAATAAAAGTTTTTTCATATTTCAAATGATAGAAAACGAAACAGTAGTATTATTACAGAATTTCAATGTCTAAAAGATAAAATTCCGATTTTCATAGATTATTTATTAATAAGCTTGTAATTCAATATAATGGTGTTGGTGATACTTGAAGTATTTTCCCAATTACATCAAAGTAGTAATAATGAATATCTTATTGTTACATACTATCTAAATTCATCTAACCTTTGATGATCTCGCCTCATAATAGGATGAATTTTTCTCAACAATTAATTTCATCAAACTGGATACTGTTGTTTTTTTTTATTTAAAAAAATAAACGAATAATATACTTATTCTTATACATGTTTAAAAGTGTTCGTTGTTTTTAAACATAGAAGTTCATGAATCATATCGTTATACATATATGGAAGTGTTCGTTTTCTTTAAATATCTGAATTTTTGAATGCATTATATTCTTCAGGTTTTGATTGAAGATCTTCTAATATAGGTCTAATCAAAATATTGAACATGTCGATGTTCATTTCGATGCATGATAAAAGAATATCTGCCGTAACAGTAGCCGAATATCTTCGATTAAAGAACATATCCACAGCACCTACACAATCCAATCGATTTAATGTAGATACTTGATCAAGTGTTTGACCATTTTTTCCTGGCTTAAATACACCAGCAGTACCTAAATAAAATTTTTTGTTTATATTTCAGAGAAAAGGTTAAGTTTTATTTGTTTTACCGCTCCAAAGAATAAAAAATCTATCGGCTATTCTTCCGATTTGAACAATATGTTGACCTGGTTGAAATTTCACGATCTGGAAATGATCAGCCAGATCGAGATATTTCTTATCATCAAGATGCTGTAAAATCTTTATCAATTTTAAATCAGACACAAGTTCTGCTGATTTCTAAACCAAATACAAATATTTTATTAATTAAATACACATTTTGTACTTACTTGACGCTCGACATCATCAACTAGAAATTCTTGATGTTTTTTTAGATCAGGATTAATGTAAAATTCTGATGAATCAATACGATCTGTATCTTTTCCAGCCATACTAATATTTAAATTCGATAACGTTTAAATGAATCAAAAGAAAGAATATTCTATCGTTCTTTTCATTCTCCTATGGTATATCAAGGGTCGAAATTTACAGTATATGAAAACGAGAGGGAGAGAGAAAAGATATATCACTCGTTTCGATTCACTGTAAGTTTCGACCCTGGAATCATTGTGATGATTCAAAAGAATAGAAAAACAAAGAAAAATGACCTATTTTTCTCTATATCATCTCGGAAATTCATCGATAATTTAACATCGATAATAAATGATCAAGTAAAAACGAGATTGTCATGTTATTTTTGGAATGAACTATTTGTAAACATTTCTTTTTTAACATTATCATGTTTATGAGGATAATTAATTTGTCGATTTGATATTGTCGTTTTTGCTAGAGATAATGGTGATGTTGGAAGATTATCAAATGAAGAACATGTTTCATTTTTTACCAAGACCTAATACAATATCATCAGTTATATTTTATTTACGATTTTGTTTTCTTAAACTTTTTGTCCAATAGCATCATCTAAATTATCTTCCCATGTTGCAAATACCGGAATACTTTTTGCGGCAAACCGCGGTATCAGTAAAAACCAGCGGTTTACCGTATTTTACCTGATTAACCGGCGGTTAACCGCGGTAAACCGGCGGTTTTTACTGATACCGCGGTTTTCGATAAAACCGTCGGTTAACTGCGGTAAACCGCCGGTTTAGTAGCACTTGTTTCGACCAATTGCATTTATTGCTATAGTCATGCATCTAACAAATGCAAGAATTCATGGAGAATCCTTCGCTTCATTAGGAACATAATCTGATGTTGCATGAATATGATTAATCTCTCTAAATCACTGGTAAACACGTCACAGCTATTCTTGAATAAACATAAATGAATAATTTGCATTTCAATCTAGATATATGGTTATAACTATACAGATGCTTTGCAATAAAATCAAGTTCCATGTGTGTGGTGAAATAATTAAAAGAGATAAACTATTGTTTTGCAGTTATAGTTTCCATGTTCAAAAGATATAGCTTTATAATACAAGTTTAAATTTTTCTCTATAAACTTCTGAAGACACAGGCGACCAAAGGCCAACTAATAAAATCTTTATTTCAAATCACTGCATCCATACATTTCATTTCAAGAAATTTGCATCAGCTTGGATTTAAAACCGTCTAAGGCAATATTGTTCATGAAAGGAAATTATATGCTATTCTTTAAAGCATTTGTGAAGCATTGGAGCAGAATGAAATAATTTAGAACATTTGATGATGAATACTTGATGAAGAATGAAATGTCATGACTAACCATTTCAAAGAGAATAATGAAGAAGATTTGAGTCCGCAAAGATATTATTAGCGNTGTTGATCATACGAAATCTTGCAAAAATCGTACAAAAAATCGTGGTTCATGCAATCTTATACTAAGTCGTACTATAAGAACCATCCAAGATCTTACTGTCACATAAGATTTCCTATAATCTTATAGTAAAATCTTACCGAACAACAAGATCTTTGATGGATCTTATAGTACGACTTAGTATAAGATTGCATGAACCACGATTTTTTGTACGATTTTTGCAAGATTTCGTATGATCAACAAGATCTTATGTCCGATTTTTTGACCTGGGCATAGAACCAAATATTCGAGTGAACAAGTTCTACGTCTTCATTAACATTATGAAAACCTGTTGAATAGAATTTCAACGACTTCTAGTTTTGAACGTGGATAAATAAATAATCTTAATAAAATAATAGCTACATAAACAAAATTAGGCACAACGGTTCTATAAATCATCTTTTTTAAATATATTTTCTCTAATTACTTGTAACCCTCCTCAATTGATTCATATTCAAGGAAAATTATTATTATTAAATTTAAAAGTGAATTGACAATGGCTTAAGGGTAAATATATAGTTTTCTCTGATTTTAACATAATTTCTTTGATTTTAAAATTTTTGAAATTGAAGTCTTGTTAGTTTCACGTTGGAAAGATGAAATATGCAATCTATAATTTATCTCACAAATGTCTTTCTTATGGTAAATTAGCTGAGAATATTTCGGTCAAATACTTGACTAGGAAATACAAATTAATTGAATCATTGGCTAGTTTACACGTATATGCAAACTTGATGGCAGCTGACTAGAGTAAACTAGTTAAAATAAGACGTTCTGACTTTCTATAAAACAGCATTCCACTGATTTGAGACTAGATGAAGCGTAATTACAAACCGTAGTGTAAGAGTTGACTACACATAATTGCTGAAAAACACGTTCTTATTCCTATTATCTTGAATTCTGCAAAATTTAGACTAGTCTGGTCGTAAAAGCATATCAGTTTATTTTGAGTGTATTAGACCTGACTGGCTCATCAGACGTTTTAGGCCAGTCTGGACTTATGTCTTCAATACTCCAGACTGGTCTGGACTTGTGTTCTGGATATTTCAGACTAGTCTAAGCGTGAAAGTCTGACGTTCTGCCAAATGCTGACTAGACTAGACGCCTGTACATTAGGGTCTGGACTAGACAGGACTAGTGGTTTGGACATGACAGACTAGACATGTTGCTCGTCTCACCCGTTCTTTTGCTTGCCTGGGTAACCATTCTATCGTTTCTAGTGTTTGTAATGGGTCACTTCTACAGTTAGATATATCAAAAATCAATAAATTACATTTACATTGAAAATATCTGGTAAATAGCCTCATCAGATTAGTTCACCTATACATTTCTTTTTTTTGTTGTAAGGAATCTTTTGTTAAAATAATTGATTATCAATGATTGGCTATCATTTAGACAATGTCCGTCAAGCATTACATAAGTATACGTCTATTCTATTGTCAGATAGACACATTATATCGACAATGAATTCTTTATCAGTTATGAGTATGTATAGCTCTTTCATAATATCATTTATTTTTATTATTCTTCTGTACAGAAGACTCCATTCAGCTGGTCGATTTACCTGATGAGTTAATTTTAATTATTATGAACAAAGTCAAACCTAAAGTGTTATTGCTTTGCTCTATTATCACTATTGGTAATAATCGTTTAGAAAAACTTGCACTTGATATGTGTCATTCAATTGATTTAACTTTTGATTGTTTTCCATCACTATGTCAATTCATTATTCCACGTTTTTATACACATGTTGTGCCTTGTATCATTAATAATATTCAATCATTGACATTAAGCATTCAACATATTCCAAATATGATTACTTTTGTTGAAAGATATTGTAATGGAACTCTTCCAAATTTGACATATTTGAAAATAATAATTAGTAGACAAAATCCTATGGCAGGCACATCTTATACATTAGGTAAACTACCCATGTAAAAAAGTTGATGATAATGAACGTGTAGAAACGCCTTTTCGTGAAATAATGACGCGTTTCAAAGACTAAGAATGGGTTTTAAAAAGAAAAAAACGCGTTAGAACGGATTTCTCAAATATCAGAACGCGTTCAAAGGCGTTTCTGTTGATAAACAACGCGTTTTGCACCGAGATAAACACGTCTATAATGAACAAGTTTCGAGTCAATAGTAACGCGTTCTGATGGTACACGTTGGTGTTCAGTCAAGAAAAACTGGTTTTCATAGTAAAAAAAATCATTTTTTTAAAGAAAGCATAAAAACGTTCAAACAAAGAACGTGTTCATTAGTTGTCGAAACGTGTTCTTTGATGTAATACAAACGAACTTAAGATAAAGTAAGATTCATG